GGAATGCCGTTTTCTGCCTTTGCATGAGTAGTAATTGGTCTACACGACATGTCATGTCGATGACCGATTGAAACTTACAGTACTTTGCATGCTTCATTTCTTATTTAATGGGAAAATAAAAGTTACACCTGATATATATGCGTGGGATGTCCTTGTACAATTGACTATTGAGTGGTGATGATATTCGTAGCTGATACAACTAATGAATAACTAAAATGAATCTTTGGTATTTTCAGGATGAACTTTTAATTGAAGAACCAAAATTTGAAGAGCTATGGGATAGGAATATGGAGGAATCAATCCGCCAGGCAAATGTTAAACCATTTATAGAGGAAGCTAGAATGCAAGTTTCAGATTGGGGTTTTAGGTTGTCTGAACTTCAGGTGCAGAGAAGATGTCAGGGAAGAGGAATTCTTCCTTGGATCAGGTCTATGTACAATCAGGCAGAATGTGAACTAACAGGATTTCTGGGCCCAATACACGTGTGGCAGGTTTGTGCATATCTTTCTTGTTTCCTGGTTATTTGTTTATTCAATATTGTTTTATTTTCTCATACGGTAATTTTTAATATATTTTGCAATTTCCTTGCTGTTGGTACCAATTTTTATCCATTTTCCTGATTATCTGAAAAGGTTTTACTTTTCTAATCACACTTCAGATTATTTCATCGAACTTTTCAGGAACTACTATGGATTAGTAACTTCCTGTAAATGTTTGATTTTTTTCCAATCCTTTTTCCTGTTTGGTGGGCCTGTTAGCTACTAAATGATCTTCTGAAAAAATGAAACTTTAACGCTCACAAGTAATTCATTAAATTGTTACGCCTATTGAAGAGAGGTAGCTAGGTGATTCTCTGAAAGTCCTCAAAAGATAATATCAACCCTTGTTTCTTCCCCTAATTGTTGTAGTGGTTTTGTTTAAATTCTCTTGGTATCGCTCAGATTTCATTTTGAAATCTGAAAAATAACAGTGATTCAACACTAGTGACATTCGTTAAAGTGTTATTTGTGATTTTACACTTATATGTTCCCATTCATTCTGTAATGTTCTTATAATTTCTGTACAGGGCATGGATGACCATGTGGTTCCGCCATCAATGGCGGACTACATAGTCCGAGTTTTACCGGAAACCATTGTGCATGAGCTCCCAAACGAAGGACACTTGTCATACTTCTTTTTCTGTGATGAATGCCATAAGCAGATACTTTCCACTCTCTTTGGACCCCCTCAAGGTCCGGTTGTCAATAACGTGGAAATCGAGCAAAATCCCTTGGAAGAAGATGAAGTAGAGAAGCAATGAATTTCTACTTCTCCTATAGAATAACTCATAGAGGCATTGACATGGATTTCATTCCCACATTCGGATGTAAATACCCCCACAGGTAGCTCCGATTCTTGGTGGAGCCTGAAATATGAGTTTTAGTTAATTAATTATATATGATGCTTAAAATTTTTTGAATGATGAGCGCTTCTGACAAGAGCCATTGAAAATGAATGAGACAGCTGATTCAATTTCTCGTTCTCTTTGAAGCTAGAATTGTTTCTCCCATTATATATTGATTATTACCCTGTAGTATTTCACCTTCAACTATGTTGTACTGAAATGATTACTTCAATCAAATGAACGCTACAATGATGTTGATGTTTTTCTCTCAGAGGGTATCCTGTATATCAAAGATTGCATCAAAGGTTATTTTTTTTTTTTTTTTTTTTTTTTGGTAAACGCAACTTGACAACTTTCTTGTTAGGGTACAAGGGGAATGAGTTTGAAACTTTTCAGTACTATTATCATGTTTGTAGTATAGAAATTCTTTGAAATTGGTCACAAAACAAGATTCCAGTCACTAGGATGACAAATAGAATTGAGACCGTGGGATGATGTAGATTTTTGCAACCAGATATGGTTCTCGTAAATCATTACGAAGAAACATACCAAAACAAGAAAAACAAAACAAAACAACAAAACAAAAAAAAAAAAAAAAGAAACGCACGCAGAGATCTAAAAAAAAAAAAAAACAACTAAAACTGCCACAAAAGCATGAATTGTTTGTTTTTGCTCAGTTGATTCATAAAAGATTAGACATTATCCCAATGGTATACAAATTATAGGCCGCGCCAAAGAATAATTTGAATAAAACTCAAAATTCTTCTTCCATTTAGAAGTCTAATGTCATACAATTCATCCGAAACGGAGCACAACCTCCACAAACCTCTGAAGAATCATCATTAGAAAGATCACCGATGACACATCAAAATGCAGAGCCACCGCCCTTGGTTTTTCCAAGCAATAAATCTTTAGCTTCATTGATTTTAGATGCAAGGTAATGGCTACCACCTGCATCTGGATGGTTTGCAACCATAACCCTCCTATGTGCTTCCCTCACCTTATCTGACGGAGTCCTTTCCCTGTCACCAAAAAAAAAAAAAAAAAAAAAAAAAAGAAAGAGGAAAAAACCTATCAAAGTCCCTACCTATCAATTATTTCCCCCTCCCCAAAAAAAAAAAAAAAAAAAAAAAAAAAAAGGAAAGAGGAAAAACCAAAAACAAAAGATTAGTTCATACACCATAAAACTAGATCTAATACAAAAAGGGAGATGCAAAAAGTGTAAGATGGAGACAATACGGACACAACAGAACAAAAGTTTCGCAAAGAAAAAAAATGTGAATCTACTCTAGTTCAGTACGTATGAACTAACTAATTCCCATATGCCACAACCACAAACAAACTTCTACAAGCAATTCAACAGGATGACAAGGAATAATCTTAGGGTGGTTAGGCACTCAAACACTCTTGCTAGGAGGTTTTAGATTCGAAAAATTCTTGGCAGCACCGCAATGCTAAACACCAAAACTAATCGAAACTGGACCCCATCTATGTGTTAACGTTCCATGCTGTTGAGCCCACTTTCAACTAGCATGTGACGTTGGGCACCACCGGTGCCCCTAGCATTACTCTACTTGCGCCTGCAGATCGATTTTCCTAAGGCCATTTTATTTGGTAACACACCACCCACTTTCCTAGTACCCCTTTTGAGCAAAAAGGAAATTTAATTCCACAAGCTCAGGTCAAAATTACCAGCTATGTAGCAGTCTGAAAAATGAACAGACTGAAAGAGACCCAAACTAGAACCGTAATCCCGTTCATTCACTCAATCCTAAAATCGATGTGCTTCGCAACCGAGTGACATTGCCATAATTGAGAACATACCATATGCAGGAGGAAATTGAAAATCTAAACTAAACTCCATGACACAATATGTTGTTTTGGATGTGAATTTCACGACACAATATGGAATACATTCCTAGAACCCCTTTTGCGCAAAAAAGAAAAATTTAATTCAACAAAATCAGGCCAAAATTACCAGGTATGCAGCCTTCAGATAAATGAAACGATTGAAAGAGACCAAATCTAGAACGCAAATCCTGTTAATTCACATTCACTCAATCCTAATATCGATGAGGTTCACAATCCAATGACAGCAACAGAATTGAGCACATACCATACACAGTAGAAAATTGAAAATCTATAGTCAACTTCATTATGCCACAAAATGTTGTTTCGGATGTGAATTTCATGACACAACATGGAATACATTATACATATGTGTGAGATTAGGTGCAAAATTATACCTGACTCCAAGAATTTGAGCGGCTTCTCTTCTTGTCATGACAGATTCAAACCCACCTTCATAAAATCTGCGCAGTTTGGGCGGTCTTGCTTTGATGGTCTGCCAAGCCAGAATTCCATATCTGCCCGCATATGCAGCCGCAGCTACTGCAAATCCCGCCATTATTGCTGATGTCTGAAACAAATTTTACATGTAAGCTTTTCAACAAGGCAAAATTCAGAAATAAATAAATAATGAATACATATATAAATCAAGAGCCCCATAAAACGAAAGACAAGCATCCAGAAAAAGGGAAAATTAGTAACAAAGACTAAAGAGGAGAAAAACAAGAAGACCCAAAAACACAAAAAGCAAGCATCGAACATTTTTGACAACTTGTAAGAATAAGAAAGATTAAACAGAACAAAAATCCCAAAACAGGAGATTGATAAACCTCAAAGCTCGAAGCTCGAAGCTTTGGGTTTTTTCCCCTCTCTTTCATCCCAAAAATAATCGCAAGCTCAACAGTAAACAGTTGTTTATTTACCTCAAAATAAACCAAAATACCAGAGAGAAGAGAAGAAAGCTCACCATTTTGTTACTGCTTTGAAGGTTCGAAGAAGGCGAAAAGCTGATTGAACAACAATAACGCACCGTCGGACGCCCAACGTATCGGTGTTCAATATTTATAGGATTTTGTGATCTTTCTAGAAATAAATAAGTCTTTCCTTTGCTTCGGGTCCAAGGTCGTTGGTGGATATTGGATCCGGATCCGGATCCTTATCTTTTACTAGAGGTAAAACTAGTTTGGATTCTAAAAATAAAAATGTAAGTCCAGTCCGGCATAAAGCGTGACGGATCGGAGACTCACCCGTACTTTTACAGAGAAAATTAAAGTTATAAATTTTAATTTATTAAAAATTTTGAAATATTGTAAGGATAGTAAAATTTTATATCATTTTCATGTCATTAAAATAATGACCATATCATTATATATAAAATATAATATCATTATTAAAATTATTATGTCATTTTTAATATATTTATAATATTTTAAAAAATTTAGTAAATTTCAACTCAAATTATGAAATTTTGCTATATAGTGTAATTAAAAGGGTTTTATACATAAACTAAAAATGTCTACTATTTTTTTTTATCTACAAAACTGTCTCCTACCGTATTATAAAGACATTAAAAATGAACACATAAAATCTACTAAAAGGGTAGGTAAGTAAATTTATAACAGTTTATTCTGATTTTGAGTGCAAGTAAATGCATGAATAGGATTGGGATTGATTCCGATTCTAATTCCTGGAACTTAAGTAAACAGTTTATTTTGACTCCGATTTCTGACTCCGATTCCTGTCCACTCTGATTACGAATAAGTAAACATGGCCTAATATCTTTGAATAATGAAAATGGGATACAATTATACAAATGTACATTATAATATGATAGTTGTGAAAATAAAATCTCTACGTGAAATCAGAATAAACATTTAATGAAGTTTCCTTATTTAGTTTAGGGAAAGTTTATGAAGTCAAAATCATAACCGGCTTCCCTACAGCCATTTTCTTCAGAAATCACAAATACGCAATTTGATCCCTTTTCGTCCCAAAACCCTAGCATCCCCCCTCCATACGCCGCGGCTCTCAACCGCATCTCCCACTGGGAACTCTCCAGAACTGCAAAGGCAAAAAAGGCGACGGCTACAAAGCCCAAAAAGGGAAAGAAAAACTCACCAACGAGAACCAAGAAATTGTCTCGTACAAAGGAGGCGCAATCCAAAAAGAATCAGTGAATGTGGTTTCCTTTGTCAGTTTTTGTAAGAAATAGGAATTCTTATACATTTGCAATATTTCAGTTTCTTAGTAGCAATGAATTATAGTTTTTTTTTTTCTTTTTCCAGAAGATTCTTTACCTAAAAAGAGGTTGTAATTTTATATATATATATATATATATGTATGTATTGGGTTTTCATTATCATTTTTCTCTGATAGAAACATCAAATTTGTGCGACACGAAAACAAAATCTGAAATATGAACTTCCTTCAATTATTCGTTATTTGAAATGTGAATAGAAATTCTGGGGTATATATGGCTGCTCAAGTATTGTCAAAGATTGGTTTCAATGTTTTTTCACGTGCCGATTTTGCTTCATTGTCATAGGTATAGTGAATGATTTCGTTCTTTGAAATATGTACAGATTCTCTGTTTTCTTTAATGGATTGAAACATAGTTCACATAAATAAAACTAAACTTTGGTTCATATTTTTTGCTTCACTATCATATTGCTCTTAATGATTTTGTTCATTTTGTTCTTCATTATCATATTGTAATTCAGTCAAATTTTAATTGTATATCAGTCATTATGATTTTTTTTGAAGGATAGTCATTGTGATTTCAATCTCATATCTTATGTAAGTCATTATGTTTTGGTCTTCATCATGAGATTGAAATTCAGGCCGTGTTAATCTTATGTCGGACATTTTGTTACCATTATCCTATCTATTATCAGATTTTAGTAAGTTGTGTTTATTTTCATTTAAGATGCACTTTCATTTTAGTAATGCGTTATTGTTATAATAGATAAGTTTTTCTTATCTGTCGTTCGCTTCGCAGATTTGAGTTTTCAATTCGAGCTGAGATGCGATATTTTCTAAGATTTTATCTGTAACAAAAAAAGTTAAATGTGATATTTTTTGAGAATTTTTAACTGTATAAATCTAAAACTGAAAATTCGAATTAGAGAAATGAACAATGCCTTATGTTCTCAATTTCTTTATAATAATGAGACCGTCTTTATAACACCGAAACGAAAAAAAAAAAAAAAAAAAAAAAAAAAGGCCAATGGGAAAATCTGATTATTCCCAACCAGTGTTGAGACGCATTGTACCAAGAAATGTATTCTTCAGAATTGTTTGGTCAATGAAAATAACAGGGAGACAATGAGACCATCCTTGCATAGAGGCAGCCATTCATAAGAAAAATATAAAAGCAGATCTTTATCGTCGAGAAGAATATATAGTCCTCATTATAATAAAACTCATATCATGCGTGGTATTTAAAATTTCATTATCGTATATCAATTGACATTATAGTACTTAGGGTTGGCAATTTGTGTTTGTGTGTCGTGTTCGGGCCGGTACGATTACAGCACAACACGATTATAACGAACACGACATGAATAATAAACGTGTCAGAAACCCAAACACGAACATGAAACGCTAATAACACGGTTAACACGACACGACATGCGAACACGATTATTAAACGTGCCGTGACAGGCCGACACGAAAAAAACACGTTTATGACCTAACTAGCAAAATTAGTAGAATTTTATATTGTATTCAAAACTATATTAATTGATTACTTAATATCATTTATAGTTAAAATCATGCATAATAGCCAACACACATTAAAATATCCAAATATCAAACACACACACACGTAATGTTTCAAAACATACCAATTACTAAACATCCAAAAAAGTTTGAAAACATAACCAAGTACATTTAAATAAGTTTGAAAACAAAAGCAAACATTTGAATATTTAAGTGTATAAAACATAAAATAAATATAGGGAAATATCCACAATGACTACTGTTCATATCAATGATTAACTGTATAGGAAGACTAGAGTTCTTTTTTTTCTCTTTTTCCTTTCATATCTTTAGACCAATAAATTCAAGTGAACAGATAAAATTTAGTTTCTTATGAAGCAATATGCTTATTAATGAAAGAACCTAAGGAAGCGTTGAAATATCAATGAACAATATTATCCCTTCATAAAACTCTATCACACTAAAAAAAATGTCAATGAACAATATTATCCCTTCATAAAACTCTATCACACTAAAAAAAATGCAGTTGCCACATCGGCAAGTACAAAACTTGAGAACCTTGCGCAACATAAAACAAGAGTAGCAGAGTAACAAAAATTGAGAACAGAAAACTACCTTGTCAATCTTACCAAGATTACTTCTTTCGTCTCGTCGCTTTTGCTAAAGAAAAATTGAGAATAGAAAAATACCTTGTCAATCTTATTTGTTAAAGAAATGGGAAATACCTGAAACGGCGGGTGAGAGAATGAGAGAAAGAGAAGCCTCCAAAGACTAAGTTAGAAATAGTGTTTTGTCTATATATATATATATATATATGTGGGCTTAATAAACGGGTCAGGTCGTGTTGGCCCGATAACGGCCCGTATAACTAAACGGGTTAAGCGTGTTAAACGGGCTGGCATGAATTCAGCCTATTTATTTTCGTGTTATTTGTGTCAGCCCGTTAACAACCCAATTAATAATCATGCGGTCCAAATCCATTTATCTCATATTATTTTCGTGTCGTGTCTGAAATTGCCGACCCTAATAGTACTAAAGTTATTCTAAAAATTAACTATGAGGACTTGTAAATTGAAAAAAGTGAATACTAGAGGTGTTTTCATCAAAAATAAATATTTAAACAACAAATCCATTTACGTATGATAAATCATTGTCATATATATTAACATTATATTAACAAAAGTATAATGAAATTCACAAAAAAAAAGGCATAAATTCCATAATGAAAAATGTACATAAAGACGTACTCTTTATACTTAATAATGGAAATTCAGTATGCATATTATGATGTCGTACTTCATTATCATAAATAAGTGCATATTCTATTAGTGAATGTACATAAAAAGCATTATTTTCATTATAATAATATCATTATGAACAAGAATGTATATATCAAAAAGTTAAACAAATTCAGCCACGAATAAACCACCTTCCTCAAAGCAAACAAATGCAGCTACAAGTATTGCCCAGCCACAACACACGCTGGTAAAAATCATCACCTCAGCACCAATATTAATATAGAGTACGTTATTATAAGCCACGGCAGGTTTTTTTTTTTTTTTTTTTTTTTTTTTTTTTTTTTAAAGGGAAACTCTTATTTAAAAAAACCCATATTTGCAATAAATCAATGAATTGGGAAGTGCGGGGTTTGATTGTCAAAATGAAAAGTTTGAAGGGCAATTTGCTAATTTTGACTTTACACCTTGAATTTTGAATCTATTATATTTAAGTTCTTTTGTAAGAACTTTTGTTAAAATCATACAAAAAAGAGAGGTTTAAGTGTGGTTATATAATTTTTATTTGTTTATTTTTAAAAGAAATTTAAATAAAAAGGTCATTATTACTCTCATTTTCTCTATTTTTTTTTATATAAATAATAACAGAATGAGTTAAGTAAAAATAATTTAAAATTTAATGAATAAAGTGAGAATTTTTAAAATTTAAAAATAATAATAACAATCCTTTATTTTTTCTCACACTTACCCAAGTAAACAAAACTTGGGAGAAAGATGGGTTGTCTCTCTTCCCTCACTGGTCCTTTTGACATTCCTAATGATGACCGGTTAGTCCGGTTCTAGACTTCTAGTTCATAGAAAGTAGCTCCGTTCACTTCGTTGATTCGAGTTTAGAATTCAAGTTTTTCTACAGTAAAAAGCTCTCACAAACAATCACATCTAACTTTTTTGCTACAGTAAAAAACTCTCACATAAAGTCACATCTCAACTCGAATTCTAAACTCGAATCAACGAAGTGAACGGGGCGAGTGTTTTCGGTTTAGAATTTTTTTTTTTAATTTTTTTTTTTATAGAAACCATCAACTAAAAATAATTTTTCTTTTAGATGGTTTGAGCAGCTTAATTTTTTTTTCTTTTTATGACAAAAATTAAATTAAACGAAATTATTTATAAACAGATTGAGTGGCTTGGTTTGGATTGTTTGAACTTAATACTAAAAAATTTTCAATAATTCACAAAATTTATAGTCGTTACTTCATAAAAATAATAATAAAAAATATTTAAGCTTACCATATGACTAACAAATAGTATATGTTTAAAAGTTCACCATTTAAAGTTTTAATACAAACTAATGAAAATGTGATAAAATGTGTTTTATAATAGTAGAACTTTTATTAGGACCAATAAAAGCTAAAATAAATAAAAATAAAAAAATTATATATGTATACTTTTGGCATTATTGAGGGGTTTTAGAAGTCCAAATTAAATCAGACCGCTAAAAAAAATTAAATTAAAAAATTGATTAAACCGTTTAATAATTCAAAAATAATTGACGATTTAATTCTATTAAAAACTCTCAATTAAGCAAGTTCAGTTCAGTCCATGACTTTCTTCCTTGACAGTACCTTTGATCCTTTCTACAGCTTTCTCATCAAATTTTCTTTTTTCTTATTTCCTTTAAATTAGTCGATCAAAATTCCAATTAATGCGTTAAAGGGTTAAAAAATTATCATATAATCTTTTACTTTAAAACGTCAAAGATTAGCATCATCAGCATATAATCTCATAATTTCACACATAACTACACAACAAAACTTAGAGTTTAAATTTTGCCACTCATAATTTTGCATATATTAAGACCCGTTCATTTCACCAATTTGAATTTAAAATTCGGGTTTTGTTACAGTAAAAAGCTCTCAGAAATAATCACATATACTTTTTTATTAGAGTAAAAAGCTCTCACATAAAGTCACATCTTAACTCGAATTAAAAACTCAAATTAACGAACTAAATGAGCCCTAAATGTGAAGACTTTGTAGAATTATCATATAATCTCGCTTGTATTAAATGTGCAGACTCTACTGACTATCAGACAATATCCACACGGATTGCTGAACTTAATTTTCTCTATTTAATGAAAATAAAACAAGGTATTGTTTATTTCACCAATTCGAATTTAGAACTTGAATTTTATTACAGTACAAAGTTCTCAGAAACAGTCACATCTAATTTTTTACCATCTAATTTTTTACTATAGTAAAAAGTTCTCGCATAAAGTCACATCTCAATTCGAATTAAAAACTCGAATCAGCAAACTAAATGAGCCATAAGTATACTTGCGTTACTTTCCATACCCGGATAACCAAACGACTTTTCCAATGTCAATTAGCAATGTTTCAATTAAATGCAAATCTCTTTCCAAATTAAATGCAAATCTCTTTCCAAAGAAGCAGAAATATCACATAGTTTAAACGCACAAAGAAAGTCATGTAAAGATATTCCCTAAACTCCAAAAAAAAAAAAAAAAATCCTCCCACTCCTCTTTTCTTATATACAATTTTTGTACTCGTTCTCATTCTTTGTTTGAGGAAATCATTATGTCAATGGATAGATGGTTTGGTTCCTTGGTTAATCATGATATTTTTGCTCTTTTATGTTTTGTGGCAACTTTATTAGCCGCTCAAGAAGTGAAGGGAAATGCTCTTGGAGATGTATTTGAAAAAAAAGTTGGGTTTAAGCAAAGAAACCAGAATAGAAGATGTGATTTTTCTCAAGGGAGTTGGGTTAAAGATGATTCATATCCTCTTTATAATGAAAAGAGTTGTCCATTCATCGGTTTCAATTGCTTGAACAATGGCAGGCCTGATAAGGACTACCTCCAATATAGATGGAAACCCAATGGTTGTGACCTTCCAAGGTATGCTGCACTTTATTTTTATTTTATTTTATTTTATTTTTGCTGCGAAATTGTACACTTTATTTATTTGTTTTTGTTTGTTTGTCTGCTCCTCCTCTTCTTCTTCTTCTTCTGTCTTTTTATTATTATTATTATTATTAGATGATTTTCTTTTTTCCTTTTCTTCACTTTCAATAGTTGTTTCAATGGAATCAATTTTCTCCTTTAAAATATATTCCTTGAAATATGGAGTCACAATTTGGACTTTTGAATCCCCTTTGCCCTAGTAAAAAATAACAGGAAAAAAGAAGAAGTCGAAGAATAAGAAGAAGAAGAAGAAAAACGTGAAATTTGTAATTATTTCTGGAATTAAATATCATTATTGTGCTAATTAATTATAGGATCTATGGTGGTGTCAAATGTCAAAATGGTATATACATTTTCAATACTTGTTTCAATGGAAATAAATCTCCCCCAAAAAGAATATTTGGAATATTGAATAAAGAAGAGGTATTCTTTCCTTCAATTTTTGTACCATTTAAGGAGTATAAAAATCGTAAACAATGTATACAGATGGAATTTGTCATTATTTCAGAAATTAAATTCCATCATTATGCTAATTATAAGATCCATGGTGGTTTCAAATGTCAATACGTTATATAAAGTTTGAATAGTTGTCTCAATGGAATAAATTTTCCGCTAAAAATAAATTCTTCAGAATATTGAGGTCACAATTTTGAATTCCCTTTTCCTTACAAAAAAACACAACAAAAATGAGAGGCTTTTTTCCTCCAATTTTGTATCATGACAAGAACTATATATGATGTATATGGATGGAATTTGCTTTTATTTCAGGAATTAAATTTCATTATTTTGCTAATTATAAGATCCATGATGTGAAATGTGAATATGTTATTTACAGGTTTGATGGTAGAGATTTCTTGGAGAGATATAGGGGAAAAAAGATTATGTTCGTTGGAGACTCCTTAAGTAACAATATGTGGCAGTCACTAACATGCATGCTCTACATGGCAACCCCACATTCTAATTATACATTGAGCACCACAAAGTTGCTTTCCGAATTTTCATTACCGGTAGAGTTTTATTTATTTATTTATTTATTTATTTATTTATATGAATTCTTGTTTAAAAATTGCTTTAAACAAATAAAAACTCTGTGAGTATCGCCACTTGTTGAATTCTTTAAAGAATTGGCATGTTTAGTTCGCTGATTCGAGTTGAGATGTGACTTTATATGAGAGTTTTTTACGGTAGTAAAAAAGTTAAATGTGACTGTTTCTGAGAATTTTTTACTGTAGCAAAACTCGAATTAGTGAAATGAACGAGACCTTTATATCCAGCTTGATTGTGACACAAACTGGTTAAAAAAATAGCTTGGTCACAACATTTCAAAATGCAAATAAGTGCGAAGCCAGAAATTGCATCAAATTTCACATGTCAATAAGGTGGGCTAAACCTAAAATTTTCAAATTTCAAGAGAAACGAACTACAAATTTCATCAGATTTCACATATAAAATTAAAAAGAAAAAAAAAAAGTAAGACGGCCGTATACTCTCGGCTGTATATGGCTCCGTTGTATTTGCAAAAGCCAACAATGTTGAATATTTTGTAAACACGTAGGAATTTATGGTCATTCTATAATTTAACCATTTTGTGGTAGATTTTTCTAGAGTAAGCAGTTTCATAGATGCTCACATCTATTTTTATTGGTAACACACAACATTAATTTCTTTTCTTTTCTTATAGGATTATGGACTCTCAGTCATGTTTCTGAAAAATGGATTTTTGGTGGACATGGTTTATGAAAAAGATATGGGCAAAGTTCTAAAGTTGGATTCTATAAGCAGTGCCAAACAATGGATAGGTGTAGACATGTTGATTTTCAACACCTTCCATTGGTGGACTCATTCTGGACGCTCTAAAACGTAAGTATTACTCACGTTTAGTTTATGTATTCATAATCATTTTCGTTTTACGTGTATTTTTTATGAGAGAAAACACCGTAGAGAACTATGAATTATGATTCAGAATCATGGACGAATATAGGAAACAAACGTCTCTACAGTAGGGACATTTGTTTCCTATATTTGTTCATTATTTCATATCATATTTAACGATTTAAAACTACAAAGTATTTTTTTCTTTATTTTATTTTATTTTATTTATAATTATTATTTTTTATATATAGATGGGATTACTTTCAAGTGGGAAACAAGGTGGTGAAAGAAATGGATCGGATGTTGGCTTTTAGGACAGCATTAACAACTTGGGCTAAATGGGTCAATTCCAACATTGACCCTTCAAAAACTATAGTGTTTTATCAAGGAGTTTCTGCGGTTCATCAAAAGTAAGTTCTGTTTTATTATATGTTTAACCTCTTTTGCATACCTTGGAAAGGTAATCTTAGATGACGATCTTCCTTTTCTCAAATGAGAAAAACGATAGACATTTTCAATGAAACAAATCAAATTAAACCAAACAAATTGATTTTTATTTTTAGTTGATTTGATTTGGTCGGTTTGAAAATCTCGATTTTTATTAGTTTGATCAGCACTTTAGAAACTAAACCAACCCAAATTCGTTTATAGATTTTTTTTTTCAACGAAAAATATTCCACGCATGTCATTTTAAAAACAACGTACTTTTTACTTTTATGCTTTAAGTAAAATTTTTAATTTAGTTAGAAATTAATAATTAATTTTGGACAATAAATTCAAATTCTCTGCGTGCCAACAATTAGACGGAATGAAAGTTCAACCGACTAAACGAACATCCCCTTTAGTTGGAGGATTCATTCTCTGATTCGAATCATAGTTCATAATTTACTACAGTATTTTTACTCATAAAAAATACACGTAAATCAAAAATAGTTATACTCTCATGGTTTTAATCTATGAACCAAACGAGCTCAAGCAAATTAATTATATATGATTTAATTTGATTTGTTTTATCTTAAAGCTTTTAAACCGATTAATATTTTTGGTTTGATGGTTTTCCCTCCAAGCCAACCATGAAAATAGTCATACCTTTTTCAAAACATACACTTCGTTTTGGACTAGCCAAGTCAAAAACAAGCTTCTATCCAGTATGTAGAGCAGAACAGATTAAAAAAGTATTTTTTTAAATCATATTAAAAAAATATGTAAAAAAGACAATTTCTGATACAAATCTAATGACCGAAAAGTAAAGAACTATCAGTAGGTCATTTTTTTTTTCCTACTAAGGAAACTCCCTATGGATAAAGCTATTTTGTGATTGACGTGAGTAGTTGTTCTTAAACCAACAAAATTATGTACAACTGAGCTATACCTATATGTTTACTATTCATCTAACAATTCTCTTTGGATTTTCAGTGGCACCGAATGGAATGATCCAAAGGCAAAGAATTGTAATGGACAAACTCAACCAGTTATGGGATCAAAGTATCCAGGCACTACTAGCCATCCAGGAGAAGAAATTGTAAAGAGTGTATTAAGTTCCCTGAGAGATCAAGCCTATTTGCTGGACATTACATTGCTAACACAGCTAAGAAAAGATGGTCATCCTTCGATTTATGCCACCAAGGACCGCGCATTTGTCGACTGCAGCCACTGGTGCCTACCCGGTGTTCCTGATACTTGGAATGAAATCTTATATGCTGTTTTGCTTAACAGTAATATTTTGCTTTGACACAGTGAGGTCACTTGTAAGAATCCATTGATGAAAATTGAAAACACAAGTTAGTGTTCATAATGGGCGCAATAAAAACAGTTATTTTGGTTCAACTGCCAATGACAAAACGCTTATAGTTTTGGTAGGATCAATATACATCTGCAAGGAAAACAAGAGGAACAATAGCCTTGTTTTCTTCCATTTCATGATAGTGAAAATCAGAGATTATGAAAGTACAGGTAAAATTGAGAGAAAATCAGGAGCCCCTTATTGCTGAAACATCTTTAGAGTTTATTTATCTTAGTGCTACGAGAGTTTCAGAGACAATGTTATGACCGGATCCAATATCTTTCAGGAACTATGTCAGTCCACTTTTCTTTCCTTTATCCTATGTTCCGTTGGACTAACAAGTAATGAATGCAATCCATAAAACATTATGCCTCTCAATACTTAAAAAGTAAAAACAATAAGAATCTCAGGTTTTTTTTCCATGTTTCCTGAGTAAATAAATTCGACAATGCTGTGACAATAGTTGCATATCAGAATACAAATACATTAAGCAGTTGACACCCACAAAATAAGCTTCTTATCATATTTCAAGACCAGCCCACAGATGAAAAAGATTAGATTAATAATAACACGAAAAACATCTACAGACTACAAGAAAAACACAAAATATAAGCAAAAGGCTTAAGTATGAATCTCATAGAAACCAAAGCATGAAAGTGCCAAAACCAAGGGTCGAAAGAAGACGGCTCACTGGTTCTTGTTCTAGTCTTGTTGCTTCGTATCTATCTTTGTCTCTCTATTCTCTTGTCTCTTATGGGCAGGTTAGCGGGCTTCTGGGCAGTGTGCGGATGATCTGGGCCCTTGTAAACCTTTAGGTGGTTGAAGAGTGCTCTGCCAAGCTGCACAGAAGAAACCTCATTAAGCCATACACTAGGGAAGTAATTACGAAGAGTTATTTGGCACTAAGGTGATCTTTTAGCTAGGATGTCACAGCATGAAAATGATCAAACATGAATCATCTTCCCTAAGGTAATGAGATGCAAGTAAAGCTAATACATAGGTGACTAAAAAGATTAATTAGGATTACGTTCCACTCAATGAGTTTAAGGAGAAAAATAATGAAGTGTGACTATCTCTTTACTTGCAGCAGGACGACACTCACAAAGTTGCATAGATTTGACAATGGCTGCCAGGCAAAGTAAAACTATGGAAAGCGTCCCTTACGTCACCTAAAACAGATCGAGTATCATATCATTGGACTTTTGAATATTTTAGCTTAGTCACTTGATTCCGAGCCAAACATCTCACCGAGACAGTGTGGATATGTGCCAAGATACCTTAATTTAGTTTCATTTTCTGAAAGTATAACTTAGTCTCAAAGGATAAGACAGTGTTTGAACAAGCCTTGCATGTCAGATTATAGACATGCAATCTATAACAACAAAAATAAATGGACTTGATTATGAACTCACCCTCCCTTTAGGAAGCATGCCACGAACAGCATGCTCAATGATTCTTTCTGGGATTCTCTGCTGCAGTTGGTCGAAAGTTTCAACTTTCATACCACCTGGTCTTCCCGAATGCCTCCTATAAAGCTTTTGGGTTCTTTTCTTGCCAGATACAGCTACTTTTTCTGCATTGACCTGTTGTTCAAGTTCAGCAAAATCTTTTAGGCCTCACAACAATTATACGATAAGGATGAAGACTTTAGCACATATATATAAATGTTAATCAATGTGCATATGTTATACATATGTTAGGAAATGAGAAGAATAAGGCAGTTGTTATCTACTTCTGAGGAGGAATCAGCATCAAACTCTAGTTATGAAAAAATTGGTGGTAGAACATATGCTGATAAGAAGAATAGTAGTTAATCAACAAAGAAAGTAAAAACTATAGCAGTGGAAGAAAAAACAAGGAGACGTGTATATGGGAATCACGAAATATGACCCTATGCAAGCATGAAATTCGCACATTGGCCATTTCATACACTTTGAAGGGATAATCATAATTCAAAACACAACCCCATAAGTACGAAGAAATAGCATGTATGAAGTACCTAACTATGTAAACTACTCACCACAATAACAAATGCCCCCATGTCCACACTAGGAGTATATGTCGCCAAATTTTTCCCGCGGATGTGAATGGCAATTGTGGATGCTAGTCTCCCAAGAATTTTGTCCGTAGCATCAACAATGTACCATGGTTTCTGGGTTGGAATGTGATCCGCTGCTTTTGGATACCATGTCTTATTCCAAATGTCCTACAAATTCAAAACAGTAGACATTCCACAGTTAAAGCAAGTTAGCAGGGAAGAGCGACAAAATCTCACTTTTAAGTGAATTATGAAGAACAATCATATCTTTCTAATAAATAAATAAATAAATAAAAACACACACACACACACATTATCAACCTAAGCAACATTCATTCCACTGAGAAAGGCAAACAAAGAGTTGTTTTAGTGTTTAGTCTCGCTCAGATCATAATCCCCTTAAGCAAGTCCAAAAAAACATGATAAATATTTAAATCCTTCCTTAATAGTATCTTTGTTAATAAAATATGTCACTTTATGTAACATTAGCAAAATCACAAAAACCAAAACAACAAATAGTGAAGAAAAATTAAATGGAATTATACGTGTCCATCTTTATACCATATTCCTTTACTATGAATGCCCAAAAAGAATATGAAATTCAGAAATATAAGGGCTTCGTTAAGACCATATTATCTTGTTGGGTACAAAATGAGACTAACAAGTCCTCTCAAAATTTTCCCAATTCCTCATTTTCAATCTCTCTATCTATTAGAGTTTATACTCCATATTAGCTCTTAGATTATTCCTTAATAGTATATATATTAATAAAATAGTCACTATATAAAATTAGAAAAATCACAAACGAGAACAACAAATCATGAAGAATTTGGCGGAATTAAGGTGTTATTATCTTGTTGGGTCCAAACTCCAAAATGATACTAAAAATCTTCCAAAATTTTTTCCCGTTCCCACATTTTCCGAGCAAACAAACAGAAAGAAAATTCTAGAGAGAGAGAGAGAGAGAGAGAGAGAGAGAGAGAGAGAGAGACTGAGTGAGGGGACATTCATACAGGGCCATTGACTTCGGATTGCTCGAACAACCAACGCTGGTCGACGGGAACATGAGGGGCGTCCACGCAGCGAACCGTTAAGCCCCTTTTTCCATGTTTTTCGGAGCCATTAAAGCGAAGCGTGGTGGGTGGGACCCAAGGCCGTTTGGAGAGAGCCACCGAGAAACCAAGAAATGGGGTTTTGCAGGCGTTGATTGAAGGTCTTGAAGAAGAAGAAGAAGAAGACGTTAATGACGAAGAGGATACCACGAATGAATACGAAGAAGCTGAGAGAAGCGCCATTGTTCTTTCCCCTTCTTGTTGAGAGTTGTTTGATTGATGAGAGCGGTAACTGGTAATAAGCGGATAAGATGGGTGCCGAGAGAGGGAGGGCCTAAAGCAAGAACGCAGAGAGCGCCATCCTTTTTTATTTTACACATTTACCCCTTAAATTTATATGATTTAGTAATTTGTCCTGTCAATTTTTAATTTTAATAAATTTTTTCTCTCAACTAAAATTATTTTAATATAGTTTTTTTAACGATGATTATGTTAAATTAGTATTAAAAAAACACGTTTAATAAAGAAATTTAACATCTTAATTTAAATGTAACATAAATCTTTTAATTTCTCAATTTTTAATCCCTTAAATCTAATTATTAATTTAAATAATTTTAACAAAATAGGCATATTGTAATAATTTTATAAATTTAGAGCGTTTATTATCAAAATTAAAAATTCATAGGATAATTTGCTAAACCACTATAAATTTAAAGGATAATTGTGCTAAAAATCATTTCTCTTTTATTTATTTTATATTTATAAGGGGTTTTTTTTTTTGGAAAATTTGCAACAATTTATTGAGTGCCTGCATAAATTGTCAAAAGTTTATTTATTTTTTTACGAAAACATTTTTTTTTCATAAAACAAATACAAAATAATTAAATTGCAAAGTATTAATTTAAAAAAATAAAAAAGCAAAACGTGTACATATAAATGTGTGTTCATAGGTTGTTCTTTTGCATTTTTGAGTTAGAGTAACTTGAGTGATGATCTTGAGTTGAGTTTGAATTATAACTTGAGTTGGATCAAAACTTAAATTTGTATTTAGATGATATTTTAATAAAAATTCAATGGTGATGAAAAATTTTAATAGGGTATATGAGTGAGGTTTTATTCATTTTTTCATTGTGAATGCTAAAAAAAAATCATCTCAATCAGAATTAAAACGAAAAAGTTATGGCATTTTTAAGAATAGAAAAAATATTATTCATTAACTTGAGTTCGAGTTTATGAACTCGGGTTGAAGGGAAAATTTGAACTCGAGTTTAGCCCCAAACTCGAGTTTAAACTCGAGTTCAAACTCAAATTTTACAAACGAACATAAACTTAAATAAGATTGTAACTCGAGTTCATACTTTTTTTGAATTTCGTTACAAAAGAACAACCCCGTAAACACTAGTTGTGATTGCGTGTGGGCAGCAAGAATTTTACACTTACAGAAATGTATTTATTTTTTTCATTTGAGACATTATTACTACTACTACTAATAATAATAATAATAATAATAATAATAATAATATTATTATTATTATTATTATTATTATTATTATTATTATTGATACTCCTGATTCCATTAAAAATGGTAATATTATCAAGCTTATTGATAATAGATAATACTGATCACCAAGCTATATTAGGAGCATTTCTAAAGAGTTCTTTAAATTTTAGTTAAATTTTTAACTAAAATGATTAAAAAAATATTTTAATTAGTAATTTTTTAGTGAATCACTCTAATCATACTTTCTATTTTAGCTAAACATAGATTATTTTAATCTTTATTAAATTTAAAATTTAAATAACTTTATTAAATTTAAAAAAGAATCTTTGCATTTATTATGGCTGGAAAAATAAAATAATGTGAAAAATGAAATAGCTAACTTCTCTATGTTATCTATATTTAGTTAGTATGGAAGATATTCACTAAAATAACTAACCATTTAACTAATAATTTGAGTGGAAAGAAGTAAAAAAAATTAATAAATAAATAAATTATTTGTTATTTTTGTTAAAAATATGAAATGACTAGTATGATTGGAGTTGTTCTAAAAACTCTGTTGTTGTACTTTTACTTCAACTTTGATTCATGCCCATTTGCCAAAATCAATAATTACATCCCTAAACAAAAGTAATTTCAAAATAAAATGACAATAAAAGCAAAGAGCTCTTTGTAAAAATAATCTAATAGAAAAGCTTTATTAATAAAATGACAATTCAAACATTTTTATTTACAAAATGACTTTCTTTTAAAATATGATAATTAAATTATAAGTAATAGAATTTAATGAGATAACATGGTAAATTTAACTTTCTAGATAAAGAAAAATGAAAAAAGGAACCCCAAACCCTCCTTCAAGCTCCTTTCTCCTCCCTCATGTACTATTATAGCAAATTTTTTTTATTTCTTCACATTCATTCTCCCTAGCCATCATAGCTCTAGATCTGCAAGATTGAAGAAATTTTTGTCATATTTTGTTTGATTAAGTGCTTTAAAGAAGAAGAAATTATTGGAAGAACTTGTTTGGAGAATAAAATTTGGAAGGTTAGTTTTTTGTCCTAAATCTCTTTGAATGTTTGTTTTGGACAACGTTTATTTTAAATATTATAGGTGCATTTAGCCAAAAATTTTACTATTTGTAAAAGGAAAAAAAAAAGCTTTTGGGTTTGGAAGATGCCAGATGGTGAGGTTGAAGATGATAGATCGCGCGCGACTTCTTTGGCCGAAACTTGGTCACACGAATGATGGAGGTCGTTCAAAGTGGGTCGCGCGCGACCATCATCCAGGAGGAATGACTTGGATTTCTTTTCGCGCGACCATAGCCTAGTGATGGTCGCGCGTCTTTTTCTTTCTAGAACGACTCCCAGCGACCTTAGAAATTTGTTGATCGTTCGGAGTAATTCAAGGTCGTTCGGAGTCGCACTGAATTTTTTTAAATATTAATGTTGTTTATATTTGTGATATAATTTTTGAATTTATGTTTTTCTTTTAATAATTATATTTCAAAATTCATTATAAGTATGGCTCCAATCTACGTCTTTCTAGAGTACGATGGTGAATGAAAAAAGGTGGAGAGCGGATCTTAAGAATAGTTTGGAAGTGGTTTAACCAGGGGCTTTTTAGTTTATAAAAGCACCACATTTGTTGAATTGGTAGATAAAATCTATGAAAGAATGAGTATTGATCAAAGTATGCAATTGAAATTACACATAAGCGCATTGGTGACTCATTTAGTAAGATTGCGCAAACTCTTATTTCCAATAATTTGGATGTCATGGATATTATGTTTTTGTACGAGAATGAAAAAGCAATTACTCTACATGTTATGCTTAAAGAGAATAGTGAGAAAGATAAAGCAATATGTGCTGTTAATGACGATAATATTAATATTGATAACAGTCTCGTGGGAGACCTCCGTGATGATTATTTTAGGTGTCCAGCGCCACTGGCAGTATGTGCTCAAGAGGATATTTTTAGTCCCAATATACATGCATTACAGACAAATAAACAGAACACCGACATAAATCCAACGCCGATCACCGGTTCCAATCCAACGTCGATCACTAGTTCCAATCTAATTCTGGAGGAAACAATGCGGGGGAAAGTACCTGACGAAGGTGATGATTTACCTGAGGGAAGTGATGATGTAAGTGATGAAACAATTCATGATAGTCCTTGTCAACATTTTGATTTGGAAAAGGATGGTGCACTGATAAATTTTGATAGCGGAAAGCATGATGGATCTGATTTAAGAGTGGATCGACACTTTAAGAGTAAGGAAGAATTGAATATTAAATTGAGTCTTGTTGCCATCAACGTAAAGCTTGAATTGAAGGTAAAGAAGTCAACAAAAACATTGAAGGAAGTTATTTGTGTTAATGAAAATTGCTCATGGAGAGTACATGCAACAAATAGGCCCAGTTTAAATTTCTTTATCATTCGACAATATAACGGTATTCACACTTGCTCTTTGATGAATCGATCAATCAATCACAGACAAGCATCCAGTCGCGTGATTGAAGCTAGGTTGCAGGGACACTTTAAGGAAAACAAAGAGCCCCTCAACCCAAAGAGTCTCATTCATGCGCGAGGAATTAAAAGTTCACGTTAGTTATTGGAAGGCATGGAGAGGAGGAAAATTTGCTCAAGATTTGGAGAGAGGGGCCCCGGAACATGGCTTTGCCATGCTCCCATCATATTGTCACATTCTTAAAAAGGAAAATCCGGGCACAGTTACACACATTGAAGTTGATGCAGAAAATAAGTTCTTATATTTTTTATGGCTTTAGGAGTGGCAATAAGGAGGTTCAGATACATGAGAAAAGTGATTGGTATGGATGCATCTTTTGTCAAAACAAAATATAGGGGCATGTTAATAGTTGCATTTGCGCAAGGCAGTGAGTATCATAGCTACCCGATTGCTTGGACTTTGGTTGATATTGAGAAGAATGAATTGTGGACTTGGTTCTTAGAGAAGCTAAAGGAGTTGATACTCGACAGTTCGGAGCTTTGTTTCATTTCTGATAGAAATCAAAGTGTCCAGAACTCAGTCAGTCATGTTTATCTTATGGCGCATCATAGAGCCTGTTATTATCATGTCGCTCAGAACATTAAGTTTAAATTTAAGAGTTGTGTTCCACTTTCAATGTCTATGAACGCTGCAGAAGCATATCGTATTGAAGTGTTTGGAAAGCATTTTGACGAGATTCACGAAACGTATCCAAGGGTTGCCAAGTATCTAGAGAAGGAGGTCAAATTTGAAAAGTGGTCTAGAGCTAATTTCAAAGGCAATAGGTATGAAGTTATGACAAGTAACATAGTTGAGAGTGCGAATAGTATGATGAAGAAGGCGAGAGAATATCCCATAACTGCCTTGATCAATTTTATCCTGAGCAAGATGGGTGAGTGGTTCTATATTCGGCGTCGGGAAGCATTGGCAATGAAGACACCACTTACTCCAAAAAGAGAGGAAATACTCAGAAAAAGACGGGATGAAGCTGGTTTATTAATTGTACGCCCACTCAATGAGAATGAATACTATGTGATGTGTTGAAGTAGTATTCCGGACGTCAATCAATATATGGATGCAATAGTGAATTTAGGGACAAAGAGATGTGGGTGCAAGGTGTTTGACATTGACAAGATTCCATGCATCCATGCTATAGCGATAGCAGGACATCTTCAACCGCTAGACACTGGGTACTATCTTGCAGACAGATGGTTATTAGCATACGCTGAGACTGTGTATCCCGTTCCTCCAGAATCACAATAGCATGATATCCCTGATAATATTAGAAATGTTGTGGTAGTAGAGCCAGACATAGATTCTATTAGAGGGAGGCTAAGATTGACTCGCATTCCTTCAACAGGAGAAGTTCTGAAGAAGAAGTACAAATGCGGGACGTGCTGCCAAAAATGAAACAATTCAAAGACATGTTCTAATCGAGGTGATCCATCTGATGTGAGAAGTACCGCCTAGTAAATGTCTCTTTTTTTAAGTATTCTAACTATCTTTTTTATACTATTCAATATATGTTTGAGTAATAAAGATTATTTTAAGATTCTAATTAATTATTGGCATTGGATATATGTGTGTGTATATATAATATATATGTGACATTTCAATTATCAAATAAAAAAAACATAAAAATCGTAGGAAAAAAAGACAAGGATGACGGAACGACTTAGGCATCATTCTTGTTTAGGTGGGGTCGCTGGCGAAAAAATGCCTGAACGACCTGATGGTCGTTCTTGGTCTTTTAGTGGTCGCTTGGTGTCTTTCTCCGATCTGTTCGCCTTGTAAGGGTTATTGTCCACAATAGGCACCACCATTACCAGCATTGTGAGGACGGGGATCAAGGATGTTAAATAAAGTATCCATTCTAGTTAGAATTAGATCGATCTTCGTCATAATCGCCTCATTTTCACTGGCAATAGCTAACCGAACGCTGGCCATTATTGACTCCTCATGGTTTGCATGCAATGATCATATCCTCTCCTCATGGCTTGCATGCAATGATCGTATCCTTGCCTCATGGTTTGCATGTAACGATTTGATCATGTTCACTCAAACGACGATCAAGAAGATGAAACATCTCTAAGGTCGGGCCATGCGTCTGGGTGGTGACATGGGATGGCTGGGGGTGATCTGGAGGGTGTAAGTAGTCCTAAGAGCCTATAGGGGTTGATGTTGTAAAGGTTGGGCCATGCGTCTAGGGGCAACATGAGAGGTAAAGGCTGCAGAAGTCGTGCCATGGATCCGATTGGCAAGGGGTGATCTCGAGGGTGTAAGGGGAGAAGGAGAGGGAGCAATGGGACTTAGTCTACGCTCCTCTTCCTCAACTACGACACTGTGTAGGATGCATCTTCTGATAAAAACTCAGTGAGACGATCAATGACTCCATCCACAAGATCCTCATGCATATTGAGACGTTGATAGTAGTCTTGTTATCTTTCCTCCGTCGAAGGAGCCAGAATAGGTCGTACAGTAAACTGGAAAAAAAATGAAATGAGTAAAAGCTATTAGACCAAAAAGGATCAAACTAAATATAAAACTATAAAATGTCAGTTACAATTACTTCGGTCGACCTCATCAATTGTAACCATGGACGCCAAAAGGACCCCTTAGTGGTTTCCTTCAGCTGCCAACGGAACCACCGTGAAATATGCTTACCTCGATCTTCAAATTTGGCCAAGCTTTTGCCCAACTTAGGCATAGCCTCGAAAGCTCATGCTTAGAATGAAAAATATAACAAAATTACTAAAACAACCGAATAGTAAATTATATTTAACTTAAAAAAAAAAGATAAGCCTAGAGTGAAAACCTTACCTGAAATAACCAGAGGCATCCAAAAAGGCTATATTGTTCAGCCCCCTTTTTCTTCCATTGACACCTATGCTCCCACCTTTCTACGAAGTTTATTCGCTTCAAACTTGTGTCAAATTATAATATTCGATTCCCTAGGGATATTGATCGAAGAATTTGAGGTCAGTGACGTATTTAAACCAAGATGAATTAATCTGCTTATTCAAGTCTCCAGGCATCAAGAAACCGGCTAACATGTAGACAAATGCCAATAGCACTCTATCCTTATTTTTGTCATTTCCTTTGCTCAACTCTTCAAGTTTTTTAGAAACATCATCTAAGGTAACACCTTTTGCACCATGATAATACTTATTGATTAGTATTGCTTTATTCTTATGAGATTCAATTTCTTTTCTAGATGGACCACCACTTGTGTACAAGCTGGATACTAAGGCAAACTCATTCAGAGAGAACCTTAATGGTTTGCCCTCTGCTGAAAAGCAAACCTCATGGTCCTTTTGGCATTCCACTCGCCTCAACAGTAAATGATGTATTAATGCTCCTAAAAATTGCCCATAAGTAAGCAAGTCTAATAAGCGGCCAAGTTGAGGGAACCTCTAAAACTTAGCTTGTTCTTTCTTTGTCAGCCAATTCCGAATATTGTTTATGACATTCAGTTGTGACTGAATCGTGATTTTACCCGGAAAGTCTTCTATGGTCACTATACGTGAAGGTAGTTCAGGCAGCTCTAACGTGTGAATTGTTGTCGATATCTGTATTAATAGAAACAAACAATTGGTGGAAGATAATAAATATCAATCAAATCAATGAATTTCAGCTACTCCTTGGTTTAATGTCGCGCGATCGTCATTCAGATAGATTGACCATTGTGTTTAGCGCACCACATAGCTTAATGTGGGTCGCGTGCCTAGTGGGAAAGAAACAACCTTGAACGACCATCTGATATTGATTGATCGTTCGGGATCGTTTGAGGCTGCTTAGACAACTTTGAACTGAAGTAATTTGTGGTAGTTATTCGTCATTCAGATAGAACGACCATTGTATTTAGCGCGCAACATAGCTTAATGTGAGTCGCGCGCCTAGTGGAAAAAGAATAATCTTGAACGACCATCTGATATTGATTGGTTGTTCGGGGTCGCTCAGACAACCTTGAACTGAAGTGATTTGTGGTAGTTATTCTCATTCAGAGAGCACGACCATTGTGTTTAGCGCACGACAGAGCTTAATGTGGGTCGCGCGCCTTGTGGGAAAGGAACAACCTTAAACGATCATCTGATATTGATTGATCGTTTGGGGTCGCTCAAACAACCTTGAACTGAAGTGATTTGTGGTAGTTATTCGTCATTCAGATAGAACGACCATTGTGTCTAGCGCGCGACAGAACTTAATGTGGGTCGCGCGCCTAGTTGAAAAGGAACAACCTTGAACGACCATCTGATATTGATTGGTCGTTTAGGGTCGCTCAGACCTCAGACAACCATGAACTGAAGTGATTTGTGGTAGTTATTCGTCATTCAGATAAAACGACCATTGTGTTTAGCGAGCGACAGAGCTTAATGTGGGTCGCGCGCCTAATGGGAAAGGAATAACCTTGAACGACCATCTAATATTGATTGGTCGTTCGAGGTCGCTCAGACAATATCCAGAACGTTATATAAATATTATAAATGAATTGTGCTTTCCTCGGCTATGAACAACAAGTACTAGAGTTTAGATACTTGTTTAAAATTCCATGTTCCAATTTAAAAATCCATTCCCTTGGTTCTTGCAAAAGGAGGGAGAAAACGATAGCACCAAAATATAATAAAGCTACTATTGAATCTTGATGGAGTAGATGCTAAGGAACTGTTTGCACTAATAAATCTGAATCATAAGCCAGATAATCTTAAAATGAGTGATGTATACTGTGTGTAAGATAATCTTAATAGTTTAATTAACTTGATTAATAGCTCTTGCAAAGAGAGTATTTTTGAGTAATCAAAAACTACTTTTCTGTAAGAGATATAAGTTTTATACAAAACCAATAAACTAAAAAACCTTCAGAAGTTAAAAGTTGCTCAGAAAAGTGAAAATTTACTTGGTATTTTATATACCCAATACCGTACATTCCAATAGTTGCTGAACATGATAGTTACGCAACAAAATACTTTCCTCTCCAAATTGTTTTCAACTAACCTGTGATCTTAAGAAGTTGGAATTGACTAAATGGGTAGCACATAGTTTCTTTTCAATATTTTATTATCAAAACTTTCCTCATAACTTCTACCTAGATCAACCGTCTCATAACACCAGATTCAAAAGCTTAGAATGCAGCCTTCCAAAATTAGTAAAAAATTTTACAGGCATAGATACCGGGAACTTAATTATGGAATGGAGCATGATCTTGTCTGATGGTGGAGTGAGAAAAAATCATTGTAATGTTTTAGATCTAACCGATTGCTGCTGTTGGCATTGTAGATTTGGTGTTGGAGCTCCAGCAACAGAAGCTGTAGGAAACGGTCTTTCAGTTTTCATGCTTAATTGCTACAGCTTGTCAATATAGTGTTTTATACTATCATCTTGTAATGTTCTTATATGCGATGGATTGAAGTGATGATAAATTCATCTTAATGTTAAACAAGAGTGTTGAACTCGTATGCCTAGTGTGATGATGAGTTGTGACTAAGTTTCCTAATAATAAAGTTGAACTTGAATGAGCTTTACCTGGGATTCCTTATTGTCTAAACTTCACTAATCCGCAGAATACACTCTCTGAATAATATATATATATATAT